TCTGGAAAGAGTGCGGCCAAGCTGGAGTCGAATGGTTAACACGACTTCTGAACCGAATAGTAGAATGCAAGAAGATGCCCGACGATTGGTATAAGAGTGCAACGATACCAGTGTGGAAGAACAAGGGGGATATAGCAGACTGCTCTACATACCGACCGATACGTCTCATGAGCCATACATTGAAGATATTCGAAAGAATACTGGAAGCGAGACTTCGAAGCATCATAGAGCTAGCCCCCAACCAATGTGGATTTGTGAAGGGATGTAGTACGACGGACGCCATCCATACAGCCAGAATAATGATCGAGCGAAGCAGGGAGAAGCAATGTCAACTACACGCCGCGTTCCTAGATCTCGAGAAGGCATTCGACAGCGTAAGCACATGGTACCAGAAGACTATGTACAGTGGATACAAATGATATACAAAGACGCCAGAAGCCATGTCCAGACAGCTGCAGAAACATCAGAAGAATTCACGATACACGCTGGCGTACATCAAGGTTCGGTACTCTCACCGCTGCTGTTCATCACCGTGATGGATGCGATCGTCAAAGACTTCATACGGCAACCACCATGGGCACTCATGTACGCGGACGATGTAGTACTACTAGCGAGAAGCAGGCAAGAACTACAGATGGAAGTGCAGAAGTGGAAAGATCAGCTAGAGCTGCACGGATTGAAGCTGAATGCAACGAAGACAGAGTATATGGAGATAAGAGCTCAAACACCTGGGAACATCCAGATCGGAGAGACGCAAGTCAAGAAGACCACCTCCTTCAAGTACCTGGGAAGCCGTATCTCCGCAGATGGCAGTCTTCACGACGAAGTAACCAGCAGAGTGAATGCAGCTTGGATGAAATGGAGAAGCATGACGGGAGTCCTGTGCGATAGACGAATGCCACGAAACCTCAAGTCGTTGATATACCGAACAGTCATTCGACCGACAGCGCTCTATGGAAGCGAATGCTGGCCGTGCACCCGCAATGAAGAGAGAAAAATTGGCGTCATGGAGACGCGGATGCTGAGGTGGACCGTAGGAGTTACCATGCTGGACCACATCACGAACGACACAATACGAAGCATGATGAAGGTCGCCGCTGTCGTCAAGAAGATGCAAGAACGACGCCTACGATGGTATGGGCACGTAAGCCGACGAGACGAAGACCACATTACTAGACTGGCCATGACAGAAAGCGTACCAGGAAAGAGGCCAAGAGGAAGACCTAAGATGAGATGGCTAGACAGGGTCAAAGCAGATATGAGAGAGCTTGAAATTACTGAACAGCAAGCCTTGGACCGAGAAGAATGGAGAAAACTCACAAGAGCAGCAGACCCCGAATAACGGGAAGAATGCAAGGATAAAAAAAAATAGCTGTTTTTTAGAAGACCAATTTTTTACCTTGAAACTCTTGGCGCAATTGAATTTCCAGATCATCTTAATAATCAAGTTCTTGACAGGTTCGAGTCGAATAACTTTGGGCCGATAAGGCTCTTTGAGTCTACATTGAGTAACTGATATTTATTTGTTAGTTAGAATTTTATTGTGAGACAGTTAGTTTAGATAAGTAAAGACTCTACTACAAAACTTTTGTATACAAAGGATCATAAAAGCACTTATGATGCATTACAAGTGCTGATGGTTTCAAAATAGGGCATTGGTTCGGAAAAATTTTTGATGCAAATATGGAAACATGAGAATACTCATTTATTTTAGTTTTTTAGCACCGATGTGATACAAGAAGGTTGATGGTAGGTTGTGAATAAATTTTTCTTGTTTTGACAGAAGGGGAATCTGAGTAATGACATTGTTCGTGTGTTTCTATGTTTAGAGTATCATAAGTTAAAGGCAGTGTCCGGGCAAAAACTCGATTTTGAGATTTTGTGCTTACTTGGGCCTATTCGCTACGCTGAATCCGAAAATGCATATTGTAGAGCGCGAAAATGGCGAAAAACGGCTCTAACACAGGAGGGAAATGAGCAGGGGGCGGGGTCCTCCCCATTGCGAATTCACGTTCCCGGCTTCCGGAGCGACCTTCTCGCTTCCGTTTTTAAGTCAATCATTCGCACTTGGCCGGTAGCGATGTTAGAACGGCTAGCGAAATCGAGAAAATCGCTCCGGGAGCTGGGAGCGTGAAATCGCATTGGGGAAAGCCCCGCCCACCTGCTGATTTCCGTCCTATATTAGAGCTCTTTTTCGCCGTTTTCGCGCTTTCCAATGTGGATTTTCGGATTCAGCGTAGCGAATAGGCCCGGATAAGCACAAAATCTCAAAATCGAGTTTTTGCCCGGACACTGCCTTTAAAGGGATGTGCAGAAATTGGAACGCAGGAAAACCTATTTTGATGTCATTCATTTGTGACACAATCTCAAAATTCCTTAGTTAGAAAATTATTTTTGGTACGAGAGACACTCAGACATGTTTCTTTTTCCTACAAAAAAAATTTCGTTTTGTATGGTTTCCAAAGCTGATGTTGAAGCTCTAACTTCTTCAACTTCAAAACAAACGTTGTCGGGCAGAAAAAATTCAGAAAAATTCATATTTTAAATTCGTTTCCATGACATTTTTTTCATTTGTTGATCACTTTAAATAATGTAAACCAGTGGGAAAAGCTACAAAAGTATATAACTATCCAATTTTCTAGAATCTAAGAAATTTTCTCTAGATAACTTCGAGACGTTTCTAAAGTTGGTCATAAAGTTCCTATTCATAAAGCTTTGATTTCTCTAGTGATTTTCTCTTAATCGTTTTTTTTCAGTTCTGAGGGCAGAAATTTATAATTATCATTAAGTGTATATGCTGGTTATGATATTATGTAAGAATGACCACCCGCTTTCTGAAACCTTTTCAATCAAATTCGTTTATAAAGACATTCCTTATAAGAATCTAACTTACCCTATCTCCTTGCACAATTTCTCCACCTCTTTGTTCATCGACGAATTCGTAGCATTGTAAGGAAAAAGCTAGTGGAAACAATGCCAAATAGTGAGCAAACATAAGCGGAATTTGATGGGAGAACTTGACTTATGCGTCTCTTATCTGCCGATGGCTTCGGAGTTGTAAATGAATCATCTCCAAAACTTTGAATGCAATTTTGAGAAGTGACTATGTTGGAGGAGACAGACTATTTCAAAACCAGTGTGACTATTCTTGATTGAACTTCAGATAATGAACAACTCCGGAATATTTGTAATTTAACCGACTAAATATTTATAAATCTCTGTTTTGCTGGCGAGATCGGCCAATGAAACCTCTCTTAAATAGTTTACCTTCTTATGTTCTTGCAAAGGTGATTCCATACTTCTGCAAAAATTAGAAATTTATGGCACTAATTGATCAAGACTGTGCTTCCCTAATTAGTTGCGCGCCACTTAAGAAGAATCGCCCAGATAATGGCGTACTCCGCCCCTTCAAAACCTGGAACCTCTTCCGCACACACTAGTTCACGAATTACACAGCATTTCATTTCATTTTCATTAGATACGCTCTAGGCGTTCCAAAACACTGACAAAATATGTTAGTAATACATGAAACACAACAATAATGAAGAAAAAGCTAGTGAATGTGTGCATGTCTTTTACACTGACTTGCGAAGGTCAGCCGATGACCAAGTTAGTGCTTTTGCTTCTATCCTCACAAATTACCCGGGTTAAGCAAAAGCATTAACTTGGTCATCGGCTGACCTTCGCAAGTCAGTGTAAAAGACATGCGCACATTCACTAGCTTTTTCGACTATAAGGAATGCGTTCGGTGTATGCTTGCAGAAGGTATTGAAGACGCCAAATCCTATACTTTTGATAAAGGCTATGTCCTTATTGCTTGAAACATATATCAGATTTTTTTCTCACATGTGTTTAATTGTGTAACGATAGCTTTGGTGTTAAAGAGGAACTAAGAATTCTCGTTGAATATGTACAGGTCAGCTTGCGAACTCTATCGACTGAACCCATAACTTTTCTTCACTTACGCTCAGATTGTTTTGTCTGTTAAGTGAGGTCCTGCAGATTCGGAGGGGGGCGGGGGAGGGCTTTTCACGCTTGCCTGCACTGTACAGATGTTATGCAAAGCGCTTTAGCAAATTTGCGGTAGCTTGGTAAATACATTTTGGAGCATGTGTTGAAGTAACGTTGGCGTTGATAGGCGTTATAAAGTTGATAACGTTATACAAAGCTCATCCATGTGCATTTCCAAGCTAGCTCGATAATTGAAGTTAAAGTTTTCGCATTTGTCACGAAGTAAAAAAAAGTTCATAAACTTTGTAGTACACATATAGTTACATAATACGACAGTACCCAGTGCTATCTATACTGCCATGTTAACGATAGTTCTGCGGTATTGCGCAAAATCAACCTGCTCGAAATTTAATGGTATTTGAGGGACAAGAGGTTTATACGCAATCATCTACCATCAGGTCTTACTGATGTACAACCGTTGTTGATATAGCTTTCACTTTGTCTTTGGCCATACTTTACCCTTGTTAGGCCCCGGTCAGACTTCACGCGACTTAATCGTCGCGACCAAATCGCCAAGATTTCCATTCATTTTCATTTCACATTCAAAAATTTCGGTCTAGAAAAGTATCACAACCGAATGCAAGTTGATCTGCATGGAATGATGTTGTAACAGTTGTCTCCTTGCGATTCAGTCGCGACGATCAAATCGCGTGAAGTCTGCCCGGGGCCTTACTCACCAGTCAATGAGATTGCGTTTTAGAATGAAACTGCAGTTGTGATCATTTCACTACTCAACAGCAATAATAGCGGTAATACTAGTAAGACTAGTAACACTGTAACACTGGTAACATTAGTAGCATGGGTAACACGGGTAAAGTTTGACGAAAGACTCAAACGTAACAGAAATGGAGGGTGAAAAATAAGTGATTAAAGCGATGCAAACATAATACTACTTCATAATCAATGTATAGCAGTCTGTTTCTACCGTTTAGAGCAAATACTTGTCCTGCATAACTAGTTAGAGCAATACTTCGCTTAGCTCTTCTGATCTTTGATGACGTCTTTATTATTCGTCAATTTCCAAGAAGTATAGAGTAAGCTAACAGACGATTTTACAAGTTACAAATGGTTTGAAAATGAGTAATAAGAACTGATTTTATTGCTGATTTAGAATAATATGGGTACCACTTATTATGTTCGCATTTTCAGCAAGAAAGTGCTGTATGTTGGTGCGAAGCTTCGGCACAGGAGTTTGATGCAAGCAATAAACTACCTGTAATAATGTATTTTTATTGCTCCCCTCCAAAAGACTGCAAACCTGATTAAGCACGTCGGCTTTTTTCCGATAACAGTACTTGAAGACTGTGCTGAATTTTTCGATCAACTAAAATCAGGCTCCTGTGTGATAATTTATTGTGTCGGTACGCAAGCGCACTCACGTACTGAAACCTTTTGTCGTATTTGCTCATGTCTTCGTCAGAAGATACATTGTTAAAGGAGGAATGTAGAGCATTGGATATGAATATGCCTGAAACTATCTAAAATATGTTCTATGCTTTAATATTAATACCTACACAGAATAAAATGAAAAAAGATATAGGCGTGTATTACTCGCTTCGACACACCGCCAGCTTCTTCTCCAAACAGATGCTGGCCGGATGACGCTCTGATATAGTTGTAATCAAAGTTGTAGTGGCATTATTTGTTGCATACTTAAAGGCAGCGTCTAGGCAGAATTTGAGCCCCTTAGATTGACACCTAGCCTTAATGTAGACCCTATATGAGAAGCATGTGCGTTGGTCCCGTCTCCAATGTTGTCTATAAATAGAGGAAATAACCTCGAACCTATGAAAGTGCTGTCAAGTCACGCCCACCCAGGTGCTAGAAGCAGCCTGCACCAAGGGGCCAGAAATCGAATTTCTTTTTTTCCACATCGGACTTTAACTGTTGTAATCGTGGCTACGCAAAAATCCAAAATGACAAAAGTATAGGATGCAAAATATTGGGTGAACACCGCCTTTAACAGTGTCCGGGCAAAAACCCGATTTTGAGATTTTGTGCTTATATGGGCCTACTCGCCATGCTGAATCCGAAAATCCACATTGGAAAGCGCGAAGACGGCGGAAAAGAGCTCTAACACAGGAGGGAAATCAGCAGGTGGGCGGGGCTTTCCCCAGTGCGATTTCACGCTCCCAGCTCCCAGAGCGATTTTCTCGATCGCTAGCCGTCCTAACATCGCTACCGGCCGAGCGAATTATTCACTTGAAACCTGAAGCGAGAAGGTCGCTCCGGAAGCCGGGAACGTGAATTTGCAGTGGAGGGGACCCCGCCCACCTGCTCAATTCCCTCCTCTGTTAGAGCCGTTTTTCGCTTCGCGCTCTACAATGTGCATTTTCGGCGTAGCGAATAGGCCCAAGTAAGCACACAATCTCAAAATCGAGCTTTTGCCCGGACACTGTCTTTAAGGCCTTTTCTATTCTCTTGTTGATTCGCCCTGTCTCTCCTTCCAGATCTCCTTTCGCTATAATGCGATTTCCTTAGCATTTGTATAAAGGTGAAATCGTTCATTTTAGTTTCTACATTTAGTACAGTTGAAAAAAGACTATTTCCCTTTGTACATCCTATCTTCTTGCATCCTATCTTCTTCTAGTCTGTGCACTGGTCAGCCCTTCCATTTACGTAGCTCACAACCCAAGTTTTTTGGTTGGCATCAACACCACATAGTCTTCGTATCCAAGGAAACTCACTTTCAAGAAATATGAGGCATTCATGACTGTAATGAAGAGTGAGAGGGGGGGGGACAAGTGAACTGTATTAAATTCAACTTTAACTAGAAATCTCTATGTCCTCCAGCCATTTGTATGGATCGCTGTATACCATTTTTATTCGATATATAACACTAGCGGCCCTACGGCCCGCTGTAAGTGGGTCGGGGCAGATACATTAGTATTTGCTTGATTGGGACTGCATCTAACTATAAACGGTGTTCAAATCGCTCTCTAGGAAGAAATAAATAAAAAATCAAGCTTCGAGGGTAGACACAAAAATATCTGATCCTTTCTCCCAAATGCCACCACCAGAATTTAGTTATTTGATTCAGCTTGCTCCTTCTGTTGCTTGGTTAAAATCAACATAATCGCTTCCCTAAAAGACTGACCAATGCAAACACATGCTGGGTCTTCACTTCGGGAGCAAGGGCAAAATAAAGGACTCCAAAGATGATTGGCCGTTGAAAATCGAAAAATAGGGGAAAAGCTGACAGCGGGTCCCAGGGTTTGAAAGCAGAAGTTGAGGTGGTTGAAGGCCGTGGGCAATGTGGCATAAATTTCGTGGAAATCGAGCTTTTCAGTGATTTGTATGAAGATTGCGGGGGAAAACAAAACTTTTCGTTCTAAAAACTGGCCAGCCATAGAGAGAGCCCTCCGGAGCTCAACCAGCGAGACCACAGCTTCCATGCTGGGTCTTCATTCCGGGAGCAAAGGCATTTTCTGTGGACAGATTTCTGTCGAAATCGAGGTTTTTACCGTTTTTCGTGGAAATTGTGGGGAAAACAAAATTTTTCGTTCTAGAAACTGGCCAGCCATAGGGAGAGCCCTCCGCGGCTCAACCAGCGAGACCACAGCTTCCATGCTGGGTCTTCATTCCGGGAGCAAAGTCATTTTCTGTGGCCAAATTGCTGTCGAAATCGATTTTTTTACCGTTTTTCGTGGAAATTGTGGGGAAAACAAAATTTTTCGTTCTAGAAACTGGCCAGCCATAGAGAGAGCCCTCCGCCGCTCAACCAGCGAGACCACAGCTTCCATGCTGGGTCTTCATTCCGGGAGCAAAGGCATTTTCTGTGGACAGATTTCTGTCGAAATCGAGGTTTTTACCGTTTTTCGTGGAAATTGTGGGGAACAAAATTTTTCGTTCTAGAAACTGGCCAGCCATAGAGAGAGCCCTCCGCGGCTCAACCAGCGAGACCACAGCTTCCATGCTGGGTCTTCATTCCGGGAGCAAAGGCATTTTCTGTGGACAGATTTCTGTCGAAATCGAGGTTTTTACCGTTTTTCGTGGAAATTGTGGGGAAAACAAAACTTTTCGTTCTAGAAACTGGCCAGCCATAGAGAGAGCCCTACGCGGCTCAACCAGCGAGACCACAGCTTCCATGCTGGGTCTTCATTCCGGGAGCAAAGGCATTTTCTGTGGATAGATTTCTGTCGAAATCGAGGTTTTTACCGTTTTTCGTGGAAATTGTGGGGAACAAAATTTTTCGTTCTAGAAACTGGCCAGCCATAGAGAGAGCCCTCCGCGGCTCAACCAGCGAGACCACAGCTTCCATGCTGGGTCTTCATTCCGGGAGCAAAGGCATTTTCTGTGGACAGATTTCTGTCGAAATCGAGGTTTTTACCGTTTTTCGTGGAAATTGTGGGGAACAAAAATTTTCGTTCTAGAAACTGGCCAGCCATAGAGAGAGCCCTCCGCCGCTCAACCAGCGAGACCACAGCTTCCATGCTGGGTCTTCATTCCGGGAGCAAAGGCATTTTCTGTGGACAGATTTCTGTCGAAATCGAGGTTTTTACCGTTTTTCGTGGAAATTGTGGGGAAAACAAAACTTTTCGTTCTAGAAACTGGCCAGCCATAGAGAGAGCCCTCCGCCGCTCAACCAGCGAGACCACAGCTTCCGTGCTGGGTCTTCATTCCGGGAGCAAAGGCATTTTCTGTGGACAGATTTCTGTCGAAATCGAGGTTTTTACCGTTTTTCGTGGAAATTGTGGGGAAAACAAAATTTTTCGTTCTAGAAACTGGCCAGCCATAGAGAGAGCCCTCCGCGGCTCAACCAGCGAGACCACAGCTTCCATGCTGGGTCTTCATTCCGGGAGCAAAGGCATTTTCTGTGGACAGATTTCTGTCGAAATCGAGGTTTTTACCGTTTTTTGTGGAAATTGTGGGGAACAAAATTTTTCGTTCTAGAAACTGGCCAGCCATAGAGAGAGCCCTCCGCGGCTCAACCAGCGAGACCACAGCTTCCATGCTGGGTCTTCATTCCGGGAGCAAAGGCATTTTCTGTGGACAGATTTCTGTCGAAATCGAGGTTTTTACCGTTTTTCGTGGAAATTGTGGGGAACAAAAATTTTCGTTCTAGAAACTGGCCAGCCATAGAGAGAGCCCTCCGCGGCTCAACCAGCGAGACCACAGCTTCCATGCTGGGTCTTCATTCCGGGAGCAAAGGCATTTTCTGTGGACAGATTTCTGTAGTACTCTGCGTTGATACCACTGCTT